TTTTGTGGTACTAGGGACTGAACCCAAGACCTTTGCACTGAACTACAACACCCATTTTTTAAAAAAATTTTCAAACACACGTTTTGTTAAGTTACCCAGGTAGGCCTTTGTTATGGTTTGTGTCTGGATGTCCCCCGAAAGCCTCATGCAGTCATGGGGGCGGGCTTCTAGAGTTTTTTGATTGAACCATAGTCCAATGCTGGGATTATGAGTGTGAGTGCTACACTTGCCTTGGGGCGGGTAGTTTGCATACAGTGTAAGTGAGGGAAAGAGGTTGCTTGCCGCCACTCCTCTCTTTTGCTCTTGTTGCTTTTGCTCCTCTGCAGCCATGAACTGTTGCCCTCTGCCATGTGCCACTCTGCCTTGGAGCCAGCCGAGTACGGACTGAAACCTCCACAAACTGTGAGCTAAATAAACCTTTCCTTCCTTCATTTTGAACATTGGGTATTTTGTCTCAGCAATGAGAGAAAAGTAACCAACACATCCTTAAGTGTATAAATGCACCAGCATCCCAAGAAGCTGGGATTACAGGCATGTGCCAAAACACCCAGCTCCCAGCACTGGTTATTACAATGATCATCTTTTCCCCATTATGTCCTCTTGACAGCACTGTCAAATATTAGTAGACTATACATATTTGCGTTATTTCTGGTCTTTTTATTATTTTCCACTGATCTACTGTCTATTTTTATATCAGTATGTTTTATGTTTTGATTCTGTATAATTCTGTATATATTTATGTTTTGATTTTGTAATATTAATATTCAAAATTTGTAAAGAGTTTACAGCTCTCAATAGTGGAAAAACAACCCAGTTTAAAGTGAGCAAAATATCTGTATAGACATTGCTTCAAAGAAGACACAAAATAACCAACAGGAAAAAAAGAAAATACATTCAATATTATCTTCTGGTAAATATAAATCAAAATCATTATGAGATACCACCTTAAATCTCTTTTATCAAAAAAGATGAAAAATAACAAATGCTGGTAGAAGTGTGGAGAAAAGGGAACACATGTACTCTGCTGGTCAGAATGTAGATTGGTACAGCTATTATGGAAAACAGTAAAACAAGTTTCTAAACAAATTAGAAGTAGAACTTCCCTATGATCCCGCAATCCCTCCTGTGGGCATGCACCTCATGGAAATGAAATCACTATCTCTTAAAGGGCTTCTGTACCCTTATGTTTGTTGTACTACCATTGACAGTAGCTGAGATAAGGTAAACCTAAGCATTTGTCAATGAAAAAATAAAGAAAGTAACTGGATAGATAGATAGATAGATAGATTATTCAGCCCTGAAAAAGAATGAGATTTTTGCCATTTGCTGCAACATGGATGGGCCTGGAGGACATTATGCTAAGTGAAATAAGCCAGAAAGAGGAATAAATTGCATCATCTCACTTATATATGGAATCTAAAAAAAAAAGCAAAAACTCACATGTCAATTAATGACAGAATATATTCTGAGAAATTCATCATCAGGCAATTTTGTCATTGTAGAAATATCACCAAGTGTACTTTTACAAATTAATACAGCTACATCACTAGGCAATACAGTCTTATTCAACCACCTTCTTGTATGTGATCTATGGTTGACTGAACTATATTGTGCAGAGACAGAGAACAGAACAGTAATTATGGAATAAGGGTGGGGAGGAAATGAGGAGAGATATAGGTCACACTGCACAAAGTAGCAGGTAAGTAGTTTGATCAAACATACAACACGATGACTTTCTAGGATAAAAGTTCATGTGTTAAAAATACTTTATCCTCAAATTTATACTTTAATTGTATTGAAGGTGGGGCCTTTGGGAGGTAATCAGGATCAGATGAGGTCATGAGGCTGAGCACCTCATGATAGTATCAGTGGCTTTACAAGAAGATGAAAAGAGCCTTGAACTAGTACCCTTGTTGTCTCATCATCCACTGACACCTGCCATGCTTTGATGCAGCAGGGACCTACAAGATGCCAGCTGTGGTGGGTTAACTAATAGGGAATTTGTGACACCCAGGTGAACTGAATCAGCGCGGTGCTGGGTGGGGAGGGCCCACCTGGGGATTGTTGCCAACAGCATAAAAAAAGAACTGAAAAACCAGGCATGGTGGCACACCCCTGTAATCTGAGCACTTGGGAGGCTGAGGCAGGAGGATTGTTGTGAGTTCGAGACCAGCCTAGGCTACAAAATGAGCTCAAGGCCAGCCTGAACTGCATAGCGAGACACTGTCTCAAAAAAAAAAAAAAAAAGAACAGGAGGGGAAGATGGTATGCTGTTGATTCTGCTGGATAAGCTTATGATGCTGGTTTTCCTAATATGAACTCAGCTGTTCTCATCATCAGAGGAACTCAGATCTTTGCTATCATTTAGTATGGCTGTTCTTTTCAAGGGTGCTCTGGTCTTTACCTGGAGCGTTGCTTCCTGGCTCCAGTGCAGATCCCTCAGCCTGCTTGCACAGATCCTTCATCCTGCTGGCACAGACTTTCTGGCTTCCACTACTGACCTTTGGGCCTTCCTCATGCAGATCCTTGATACAGACTTGCATGAGACATTGTCATGGGCTCTAAGCCTCCAGCTGGACTCATGGAGGACACTGCCATTTAGGTCTTCAGCTGCACTCCTGCAGGAAACTGCCGTGGGATCCAGACCCTCAGCTTTGGGTCTCTAGTGTGTGGACAGATCCACCACATTCTTTTGAATTTGACTCTTGGGTGAATACTATAAAATAATCCTATAAATTATGTGTGCTGTTAAATCTTTTCCCTTGTAAACGCTGACTACAACATCAGCAGATACTGGCATCATATTCTGAGACTTCCCCACCTCCAGAACTGGGAGCCTAATCAACATCCGTTCTGTGGCATTCAGTTATAGCAAAAGAGAAAACGGACTAAGACAGCTACTCAAGGTCAAAAATGTAATATTAAAATGTCGTTTAACCGAGCCATAGTTTTTTTTTGTTGTTGTTGTTTGTTTTTTGGGGTTTTTTTTTTTTGTCTTTTTTGAGACAGGGTCCTGCTGTGCCGTTCAGGCTGGCCTTGAGCTCAGTTCAGGCTGACCTTGAGCTCACCTTGTGACTAGGCTGCTCTGGAACTTGCAGACATCCTCCTGCCTCAGCCTCCCAAGTGCTGGGATTACAGGTGTGTGCCACCACACCTGGCTTCATAGTTTCATTTTAAATCCAGCAGACTGTTTGTGTATTTTAATTGTCTTTCTAGTAGGTAGATGTATACACGGGAACCAGCAAGGCCTAAAGTTTCAAAACTGAATAGTTTTAAATCACCAAAAAAGGTGAAATATTTTTGCCTCTTGAAATGAAAGACTTTTTCATTTTAAAAAATCTGCCAAGAAGTACTGAGTTCCTCAAAAATCTTATTTAATTCATTTTCAAAAACCACTTTGTTGAAGGTCTCTCTAACAGATTTTAAAGAAAGGTTGTAGACTACAATTCAAGTTTTACATTATTATATACTTCTTGCATATTCTTTAAATTGAAAGGTCTAGTCACAAATTGGAATTTTTGTAAACCCAGGCATGGTATTCTAGGAATATTATTTTTCATTCCCCAAATTTCATATTTCTAGCTTGAAAGAATGTTAGGGAAATGAGGAAGAGAAAAGGAAATTAAAATGCCAGAAGTAGAAAAAGGTGATCTGAGGTGACTGACACCACTAGCTATGATCTACCTAAGAAATCAGTCACTTTGAGCATCCATGCGTAGAAGGCCATTTGATCTTGGTAGGGGCCACCTACACATCACCTGGCGGAAGTGAAAGATTTAAATCACAAATGCTAACAATAACGTGTGCTAGTCACACACATAGATCCAATCCTGATGTCCTTCAGAATCTTTCAGAGAGAGAGGTATTTCTAAGGAGAACAATTATTTAACAAAGATCTGATAATATTTTTTGGCTGTAAATTTTATTTGAAAAAAAATCAATGGTGGAAATATTTACACTTTTCTACCCTTTACACTCCTGTGAACTGAAATAAGATTTCAAACCTACCTCAACCTGGAGGTTAGCACCATATATACTGCTCATTCCCCCCGGGGAATGGCCTGAGCTTACAGAAGAGCTAATGGGAGATCCAGAACACAGGAGCCCCCAAACAAAAAGCTAGAATGACCTTCTATTAGAAATGCGGGGTGGTGAGTAAATGTGTCAGACAAAAGCAACTGTCTCCAACAGGATCTCCCCTTACAAGCTCAGAGGGAGGGACGACGGGCAAGTAGGGAGAGGGACCTGACCCCACATTCCCCACTGTGCCCATATCAATGCACCTTTCTTCCCCGCGTGTCAGTCAACACTCACTGGAAGGCAGAGCACAGCTGAATAGCCACTGGTTGATTAAAAGTTATAAATACGCAAAGTGGCCGAGGCATCTGTCACCTCCCTTCTCAAAGGTGGTCCTTCTCCCCCCACCTTCTCGGTTCTTGCAGGCTGGGTTTTAGCCTCCCACTACCAAAGGTTCTCCTTTCCGCATCTATTCCTCCCTAGGAGTGTTAGGCTGTGCTCAGCCCTCAAACTCAAGCTCCTGAAGGTGCAGAAATGTGGTTCGCGAGGCCGGACATATAACCCATCGGCACAAGCACCTGACTGGTAAGTGCAAGGTCCTGGGTTGGTAAAAGACTACATCTCGGGCCAACCTGCCCGGTTACCACGTCTGTCCCACGCCTGTTTCTAGAGAAGAAAGAACCGAGGCTCTGAGAGGACGCTATTCTAGGGGTGTGTCTGCAAATCCCTTCTGCCGTGAAACTCCCCTGGGTCTCCCTCCGCTGGACCTGAGCTCTTCCTCCGCCCAGACCTCCAGAGGGACGCTCCGCCGCCGCCGCCGCCAGAGGGCACTGGTGGGGATGCCGGGGACCTGGCAGGACGCGATCGAGGACGCGGCGGAAGGCGGGGTCAGGGTGGGGCGTGGCCATAGCTGAGGGGCGGGGCCTCTGGCGGAAATCCACTTTCTCTTCCCTCCTGCAATCTGGCCCTCCTCCCTCACTTCCGGTCCCGCTTCCTGTCTTTGCAGCTACCGGGTCTTGAGCCGGTTTCCTCCTCCGCGACTCTTGGGAGCTGCCCGCCGCTGCCCTCCCGCCGCGGGGCCGCCCCCTCCGCCTGTGCAGGATGCATTACCCAGTGCCTGGGTCACGGCCGCCGTCACAGGCACCCTCGACCCCACCCCGGCCTGCCCGCCTTCCCTCTCTCTCCCCGCCGCACCTGCCCACGGGCGCCCCGGGCCGCGGGTGCGGACTACGGCGAGATCCTACGCGCCGGGGAGCGGGGCGGGGAGGCGAGGTCGCGGGGCGCCGCCGGCCTGGAGTCGCAGGTGCGTCCGAACCCCGGGCGCCGCTCTGGAACCCGAGGCGCCTCCTTGGCTTTGCCCCAAGCCCTGGGCCGGGGAGTAGAATTCCCGCGCAACCTTTGGGGTCCCGCTCAGCAGCCCTGAGTCCGCTCCCCTGTGCACCGTCTTCCTGTCGGATTCCGCGGAGCCCTTCGCACGGCGTTTGAGCCTGTTGAGTGCCCAGTCTCCCTGATTTTTAGAAAGATCACCGACGGCGTTCTTCTCTAGTTAGGGTTAAATTTAACGCAGTAATTCAATTCCAGGCCATGTCTAGGAAGCAGCAGACTTGTGCGAACCTACAAGCAGGCTGTGTACTGTTTAAACATCTTCCCCTTTGTGGATTTGTTCCCGTTGAAATTCGTTTGCACAGATCTTAATTAAGTTGCCGTTTATTACTGATGTGACATTGGAGGGCCCTCAGGCTGTCGGTGAGAAAGGAAGCCTCTGATATCTGTGCATCAGTGGGTTGAACAGTTTAGCGGTACAAAACTATTCCTGCCCGCCCTGAGGCTACGGCAGTGTGATACTGACCAAGAGAGTTTCCTAAACAAAATTTGTCCTCTTCTTCTTTTCCAGATTGTGCCACTTTAGCCCAGAAGCATGAAGGTAATAAACGGCAGGCCCTACTGTTGCAAGGAGCTTGAAGGAGCGGACATACTGTCAGACACTTTTTACTCTAACCAGCTGCACAGCCCGCTACTAACAGCTACTCGCCCAACTGCGTCAGGGGACAGGTAAAACAAAAATCAGAAAAGGCAGGTTTTAAAAGGTTTTAATATACTGTGCTTTTTGTGAGAAAAAAATATTTCTTGTTCTGGGGCTCTTCTATTTATCTCTTCATGTAGAAGGCAAAGGTGATGGTTAAGTCTTATAGTGCCCACATCAGTTGGGAAGTTGCTGTGTACTATAAAAAGACAGCGGGTAACCAGGCATGGTCTCCCACATGTATAATCACAGCACCTGGGAGGCTGAGGCAGGAGGATAGACATGGTGCTGATAGTGGTGGTGGACACCTGCATTCCCAACTGTTTGGGAGGCTGAAGCAAGAGGATCCCAAATTGAAGACCAGCATAAGCAGCTTAGAGTTGGGCCCATACCATATACGAAAAAAGCAGACATCATGTTCTTCCATTGCATCTTCAACTCTAGAATGGTTACTTCTTCATTTAGAAATTAATCTGCAAAAGCGAGGCATAGTGGTGCACACCAGTACTCCGGAGGCTGAGGCAGGAGGACTGTTCCAAATTCGAGGCCAGCCTGAGCTGCAAAGTGAATTCAAGACGAGCCTGAACTGCATAGTGAGACCCTGTCTCAAAAAGACCAAAAAAAAAAAAAAAAAAAGAAAGAAATTAACCTGTGTTAACCAACTATTTATTTTATAAAGAGTTTTGTGGTGGTTCCTTATCTCTCAGAACTCTTCCCAGAATCTTTTGTTCATAGTTGCTCTCTAGCTTTTTGCCTAAATCTTCTATAACACAATTAATTATTATGATTAAAATTTTGAACCTAACAAACCAAGTTTTTATTGTGGGTCAGCATGGTATGAAAGGCTTTATATGTAGTAAATTCTTTAAATCCTCCCAACAGCAGTACTAATCCTGTTATCCCCTGTCTGGTTACTTTTTTCTCATTACTGAGACAAAATACCCAACGCCCAAAATTATGGAAGGAAAGGTTTATTTAGCTCACAGTTTGTGGAGGTTTCGGTCTATAATCAGCTGGCTCCAAGGCAGGTGGCACATGGCAGAGGGCAATACCTCATGGCAGCGGAAAAACAGCAAAAGCAACAAGAGCAAAAGGCAGGGGGAACATAAGCCTCTTTCCCTCCCTTACGCTGCATGCAAACTACCCACTCCAGGATAGGTATAGCACTCATACCCATAATCCCAGCATTGGACAATGAATCAATCATAAACTCTAGAAGCCCACCCCATGACTGCATGAGACTTTGGGGGGACACCCAGAAACAAACCATAACATCCCCATTTTACAGATAGAGCAGTAGGTATAGGTGAATATTTCCTGAGATCTTAATGTCATTGTCTTCTGTATTTCATTTACTTGAATTATTTTGAAGGAAAACAAAAATTTCAAAATACTTAATGGAAAAAAAAAAAAAAAAAACAACAGCCTGTGCAGTTGTATTCTTGTTTTGTGTTCTTAAATTTCAGTTGGCCAAATCTCAGAATTTGTTTAAGGATCTCACCTAATCTCAGTTCCAAAATGGAACATCATAGTTCCAGAGACAGTTCATTCCATTTTGCCATTCCTGATTGTTAGATGAGTTTCCTTCTAATGGGAATAGTAATTACCTGCTACTTTCGGCTCTTACCTCTGAAACCATGCAAAATAACAGTTCATCCACCCTAGGCTAGCAGCCATTCAAGACTTGGAAGAGTGTCTTGGCCTCTAAGGGTCTCTTTGCCAGACTGAGCACTGGTTCTCCCAGACTTTGGTCTTCTTCCTTCTTCCATGTAGGCTTTCACCATCTTGGTCATCTCTCATGGATCCATGTCAATTTAGAAATGTGTTCTTGTTTCCCTGTACAAAAAAAAAAAGTAGAAATGTGTTCTTTATATTGATAAGAAAAGTGTTTTTCCTTAACTGTAAAACTAATGTGTTTCTTATTTTTGGGTTTTTTTTTTTCCGGTACCGGGAATATAACTCACAACCTTGCACTTGCCACGCAGGCGCTGTGCCGCTGAGCTAAATCCCCAGCCTCCAAAACTAATGTGTTTTTTATAAATAATTTTGAAACCTTGGAAGGCTGAGGCAGGAGGATTACAATTTTGACACCAGCCTGACAGTTTAAACACATAACAAGACCCTGTCTCAAGTTAAAAAATAAGAAGGCCTGGGGATGTGGCTTAGTGCAGAGAGCCTGAGTTCAGTCTCCAGTACTGTAAATAAATAAATAACCGTAGAGTTTTATGCAGAAAACAAATTTTTCATTGTTCCAACAGAAAAAAAATTATACAATGAAAGCACAAGAAAGAAAACCTCTATATTTTATTCAGTAATAATCACTGCGTTAATGTCTCAACTTGTGTCCTATTTTTTAAAATGTAAACATCATAATCAGCAAAAGGTTTTGCAAACTGGCATTTTTACTTAATGGAGAGGAGTATTTTTACATTTAGAGAAGCACTCAAGTCACGTCTTAGTCCTTGCTGCTCCTCCTGCTCCACTATAACCTGACTGACAAGAGTGACAGCCCAAAGCTCCGACTTCACCTCCAAGGGCCATCAGATAGGCAGTTTCCCGTGAGTCGGGGAAACAGTGGTGGCAAACCTACTGCGTGTGTGCCACAGGAGACTGTACCGTCGAAAGCTCTAAATGGTTCGCCATCACTGTGTAGATCATGTATGATTGTCTTGTTACCAGTTCAGACTTGGGAGCTTCCCTTGAGATTCGTGCAGCCCGAAGAAGAGACAGAGTCATGGAAATGTCTGAAAATGTCCTTATTCTCGGTGCCACTCAGTCACATGCACTCACAACAAAGTCCTCAGGCCTCTGCCCGCCCATTCTCCCAGCAGTCCTCAGCCACCTAGTCTCTCACCAGTCCTCGTGCCATTAACAGTCTTGGCTGTGTGTCAGTTATTTACACCGGCCAGCATGGACGTTTACACCTAGACCGACAAAGTGTGCCTATGCTGAAATCTTGCTAAAGTAGAATGTCCATTGGAAATCACCTCCCACAGGCTGAACCAGAAGTGTAGCCATCTTAGGCTTCATCTTTCCTTACAGTGATCTGGGGATGGTCATTTGTCCCTGGCTCAAAAGCAGCAGTGTGAGGATTTTATCTTTGGGCAAAAAGGAATCGGAGTAAGCTTTAAGGGTTGCCATATCTGATTGAATCCACTGTACTTTTCAAAAGCAGTCAGGCTTTTCACTGAAATGTTGATCCCCTCTACCTGAATGGACCTGTGGTTGGTTAGTGATTAACTGCAAAATGCATTAACTGGCTTGGAATTTAAAAGAAACAACTTTGAGGAAAGTACTGGTTTTGAGGCCAAAGCAGGAGGACCGTTGCAGGTTCAAGGCCAGCCTGGGCTACCAAGTGAGCTTAAGGCCGGCCTGAGCTGCGTACCGAGACCTTGTCTCGAAAAGACAAAAAAAAGAAAAAGAAAAATGCTGGTTTTCATTAACTGACTATGAAATTAAGTACACACATGGTCAACTAGCTTATAAACTATGAGAAGGTATTATTTGAAGCAATATATAGGCACAGCTGTGTTCCTGGCTCCTAATACCTCAAACTTGCCTTCCCTTTTTTATCTTATGTGAATACTTTCCTTTTGCAGCCCTCAGATTGAGAAGCCAGGATGATTATGTGTTCTCAGAACCCCTCTAACTCCCTCTTAAAAAGCATTCAGAGAGCTTACAGAAGATTCTCTTTTCCCTTGATGTTATTCTTCTGAACGCTCTGGAGAGTGTCAACAGGATAATAGTGGTCAATCCTGACACTTACTTCTTCAGATCAAGTTTGGGTCTGTGGCTGCCAACTCAAACCATAAGCTATCTCACAAGCAAAGCAAAACAAAAAGCTCCTGGTCTTTAGGGTTACCCTTCCTAATGTTAAGCATGAATCCCAGCTTACATTAGCTGTTAGCTTAGTTTTCTAAACATGCTCAAAGGGACAAATATATCTCTTACGAGACAATATATTTTTTTTCTTATTTATTTATCTATTTTTTGGTACTGGGAATTGAACTCAGGACCTTGCGCTTGCCAGGCAGGCGCTTGTGCCACTGAGCTATATCCCCGGCCAAGACAATATATTTTAAACTAACCTGCCAACCTCAACAGTGATGTAAAATGATTTCCTCATGTCAACTGACAATACTTCTTTTTCTTTTCATAATAGACAACACAGTCTAGGCGCAGTGTTACCCAGCATTGGCTGTAGACAGTGAACACCAAAATCACCTGAGGAACTTTGTAAAAATACAGATGCCACAGTTGGATAACATTTGTGTGTATGTGTCTGTGTGCATATATACACATACATACTCTGGTTCACTAGGTCTTCAGTAGGCTGGAGGAATCAGCATTTTTGTAGTGTTTCAGCTTCTTAAATGATTGAGCTAGCAGAAAGCACTGAAAACATTAAGAAAACCAAAGTTATGGTCCTGGCCTTACCCAGTGTCCAGGTGCAAGCTAATCTTTATACCTGTACTAAAATACCCTATTCATTTGTATCTCTTGGAACAATTATAAGAGCCACTCTACATAGTCACTTGCTCTCCTCTAGTAATAGTAGGTAAATAAGTAGGCGATGTACTAGTCTATATTTCTCCCACTGGATATTTAACAGTGGCAGGAATAGCTTCTCAGAATCATCACAGATTCTTTTCTCCTTTTCTACTCCTCTGACTCGTCTTTACCTCTAAGAAGTTCTGTAATTCATTAGGCAAACTTGTCAGTTAAACAAGAACCTTGAGAATGACTTAGGATTTCATTTTCAGTTCTCATTTTGCTTCTGGATTCATTCACACCTCTGATTCTTGACATTTTCCTTTGTATTCGTGTTCTGCCAACTAAATAAGTGTTTTATTTGTTGTGAGTTTTCCTTTAATTGTGCCAGCCAAAAACTACTAGCTAAATTTAGCCCTCTGTATTTGGTATTAGACACTCAAAATTTTTTACAGTGATTTCAAAAGGAGATGTTAATTCATCCACAGGAAATGTATCCTTCCCCAAAACAAGTAAATGCTAAATTGCTTAATTTTCCGTGGCTACAGATTGCGGCACCAGCGATTTGAGTATTATTCTCTCTTACGGAAATGTGATTTATTTAAGCTTTAAAATTATTTTTTCCTGGGAGAAGGGGAGGGTAGGAGGAAGTAAAAAGAATTAAGATGTGTTATCTGCATGTACCAGGTCTCCATGATGAATGTAATCATGTACTAATACACATGTACTAATGAACATTAAAAATGTTATTTCATCCTGACTTCCATTTTGTTCTAATTGATTCCTTCTGTACAACATTTTGAGTACAATAAAGCGAAGTTGTGGGGCTAGGTAGCAGTGGGGGGAGCCTCAGAAGTGAAACATGACATTTACGGATTGCTTTTTTATTTTAAATGGATTTTTTGCAATTTACCACCTTTAGGTAGATGCCAGCCCACATGATTAATTAACATTTCCTACTGGCTCATCTTCTGGGACAATGTAATATACAGGGGTCACATGTTGAGAAATCGACTCATTCATGATTTAAATGTAACTTTTACAAACTTAATTATTAAGGCTTAGATTTCATTAATCACATGAGTTTAAATATTTTTTCCTTGTCATGTCCCCTAAACCGTGGCTGTTGATCATAGTCAGAGAGCTGGTGGGGGTCTTTGAGGTCGGAGACCTAAACGCCAGCCTCTCTGCTATAGCACCCCAATCAGTGGCCACCAAGATTCTCCTTGACTAGTTAGCGCACAGGTTCACAAACTTTTTCTGTAAAGAGCCAGACAAATACTTTATGTTCTTACAGCCTGTCACAGTCACTCAACTCTGCATTTACAAGACAAGCAACTGTAGACTATAAACATTACGTAAATGAATGACCGTGGCTGAAATGTATTCCAATAAAATAGTATTTACAAAAGCAGATTGTAGGTTGGCTTTGGCCTGTAGGGCATAATTTGCCAACCCTCTAATCTAGTGATTTCATGAGATAAAACAGTCCTGAGTGTTATTTCTTCCTTCAGCACTTACCATAGGAAAGTAAGCCAAACTGTACTGGTATAAAGGAAATAGTAGCCCACAGTCCGTGCCTGTCTCTGAGCTCTCCCTCCGTTTCCGCCTAGCTCTCCAGCACTCTCATGGTATAGTTCGAAGTGCTCCTGAGTTCCCAGCACATCATCCTTGTTCTCACCCCTCACTTCGTGCCATGACCCTGCTCTATCATGGCCCACATTTCTGAGCTCAGCGTCAGCTGTGCTAGCATAGTCAATGTCAGTCCTCTTTTCAGAGCCCTTAAGGTCTAAGTAAGTCCTCAAGTTGTTACAAATCCAAGCTTTGTGGAATTCCCCCAGATGCATCCAAATTGCCAGGATGAAGATGGAGTGGCACTTCAAAGTGTCATGGTCTCCTGACTTTGGGTTCCTTTTTCATTGTTTCTGTCCAGCAACACATTGACCCAGATGCAAAACAGTTCCTCATTTTCCTCCAGAGACCGTGTCCGGGCAGCATTTATGAGCCTGCTGAAACTTCACTGAACTGCCTAAGGAGCAAACAGCTCCTTTATAATATTAGCACTTGAAATAAGGAAGAGAAAAAAATACGTATATGTATATATATATATATACACACACACACACAAGATAGCTAAGGTGATTACACTACTAAGTTCTATTGGTTTATTGAAAGGAACAGTTAATGTTTAATTATTTGCTCAATCTTACACGCCTAGATCTGGTTATCTGAGTAACCACTTTGAAGATAGCAATATGTAATACAGGAACCATTGTTAATTTCCTATCACTTTGTTTTGAAATTGTGTATCATTTTTACTGTTTTTATGTTTTGTTTATGTCTGTTTTTGTTGTTTTTGTTCTTTTCTCTTTAAAATAAAAAATATATATATTTTAGTACTATTCTTTTATAATACTCCCCATTTTTTAAAAAGTCATGATAAATCTGTAGCCAAGACCGTCAAATGAAGAAATCTTTTCAATAAATAGTGCTAGGACAATTGGATAGCCACATCTAAAAGAGTAAATTGAACCCTTATCTCATACCATACATAAAAATTAACTAAGGGGCTGGGGATTCAGCTCAATGGCACAGTGCCTGCCTGGCAAACACAAGGTCATGAGTTCGATTTCCGGTACCGAGAAAAAAAAATTCTAAACAAATAAAAACTCATGAGTCAAAGACCAGAGTGTAAGAGCTACAACTATAAAACTCTGAGAAGAAATGGTCAGAGTATAACTTCATAATTTTTTCTGTGGGAGTATGTTCTAACATACAACACCTAAAGCCATGCAATAAAAAAAAAAAAAAAAAAATTGAACTTCATCAAAGTAAAAACTTGTGTTTTCACCGGGTGTGGTGGCGCACACCTGTAATCCCAGCACTCAGGAGGCTGAGGCAGGAGGATCCTTGCGAGTTCAAGACCAAGCCTGGGCTACAAAATGAGCTCAAGGCCAGCCTGAACTACATAAGGAGACCCTGTCTCAAAAAGAGACAAAAAAAAAAAAAGGATGCTATCAAGTTAGTGAAAGTAAAATGTACAGAACAGGAGAAAATATTTTCATATCATGTCTGATAAGAGGGTTGTGTCTAGTATATATTAATTCATAACTCAAAAATAACATTAAACTATACAAAGGATCTGAATAAATATTTTTCCTAAAAAGATATACAAATGACCAATAGTAACATGAAGAAATACCCATTATTTTTCAGTCATTGGAAAAAAGTAAATCAAAACTACAGTGAGAGAGCACTTAACACCCATTGAAATGACTATCATTTTTTTTCATTTTTTACAGAGTATAACAGGTGTTGGCAAAAATGCAGTGAGAATATAAAATAGACTGGCTGCTGTAGAGGAGTTTGACATTTCCTTAAGAAATTAAACACAGAACAAATTAAAACAAATTAAACACAGTCATACTATATGACTCAGCTGTGCATTTCATCCATTTAAGGTTTCCGAATATATTCTCAAGAAAATTAAGAACAAAAATTCAAACAAAAACTTGAACAAAGTATTCATAGCAGTATTATTCATAAGAGCCAAACATCCATCAACTGAGAAATAGCTAAACAAAATGTGGTACATCCATATGGTAGAATAAAACATAGCCATTAAAAAGGGTAAGTACTGACATGCTACAACATGGATGAGCCCCCAAACTGTTACGTTAAATGAAGCTCATCACATAAGACCACATATGTGAAATGTGCAGAATAGGCAGATCTCTAGAGAAAGTATATTAGTATTGCTTAGAGCTGGGGTGGAGGTAGGAAGAATACGAGGGTGAAGGCTTAACAGTAAAGGGTTTCTTTTTGAGGTCATGGAAATGTTCTCAAATGTGGTTGCACGTATCTGTGAGTAAAGGTCATTGAATTGTACACTTTGATGAATTCTGTGGCATGTGAATTATATCTCAGTAAAGCTGTTTTTAAAAATAAATACAACTCATGGGGGAAAAAAATCTATAGGAATTTAGCAATTTGACCTTATTCTTTTAGCTGTCCCATGATACCTTAATAACCAGAATCAATCATAATCAACCCTGAGAATGCTGTGTTCTGGAAACATGATCTACATACTTAGCTGTTGCTGGACAATCTGACGAGTCTCTTCTTTTCCCACAGGTATCGGGAATTAAGGGAGTCACACCCACAATGTCGGCTTCCATGGGGTGCCGAGAGGGAATATGGGGGGATAATTCCAATTGCGCTCCCTGAGGAACACAGGCCCAAATGTGAACCTCCTTGTGTCATGGGCAAAGGACATCAGCATTATGGATTTGGTGGAGAAACATGGCCAAGGTAACTAAGCTTTCTGCCGCTCTTTAAAGGTCTTTTTTTTTTTTTTTAATTTCTATTCAGTTTTTTGCCAACTCAAATCTGTTTCAAAACAATTCTTTTACTATTTATGAAGACACAGATGGAAAAGCTAATTACGTGATTTTTTGGTTGTGCAAAAAGTCTGTGTTTATGAGCTTTTTGCTGTCCTTACAGATGCTAAAGTATTGTGATCAGAAATTCTGATTAATTTAATTCCCTCACTTACCACATCTTACTAAACGTAACTGGGAGTGAGAGAAAGGGAGAGAGGTATTAAATGTAAATGATTTCAAGCAAAGAGCTGGCCTAATTTGTGCAGATGCTCTTGGTTTTTGGAGCTCTTGACATTTGTTCATCAGTCTTTCCTATAGTCCTGAGAATCTGGTAGGCACAGTTTTCAGGTATTAAAATGTTTCAGTAGTGACTTAGCGCGCGTACATTCACTTCCAGAAACTGTTCAGAACACAAATTAAAATCAAGCAGACAAAAAAAAAAGTCTGAAAACAGTAAATTAAGTGTCACGTTAAATACTTACTAAAGATTATGAAATTTTCTCAGAGCAGAATCAAACCTACAGTGCCTACTTTCTCCACCTGTACCCAGCAATCCTGGTTACCTAGTACTAAGAATCTAGTTGACTCAGTTTCTGTTGCTATTTTTTATTAGTATCTTCTTGCAGTACAGAATGACTGTTTTCATTGTGGGTATGTGCTCCATGTACAGGACAGGTCTCCTTCCCTCCCTTACTTCTCCCTCCCTCCATCTCTTGGTCCCCTGCCTATTTATAAACAGTCTATCTCCCTGTTGTTTCCTTTTCCCTTCCTTTTTTTTGGTCTTTATTTATACAGCGGTAAAGCACCTCGATTCATGAACCAAACTGTTCACAAACAGAAGTATTTGGCAAAATTTTGGTTTGGTTTGCAAACTCTGTATCAGGTGACATACAGGAATGTGGCCATCTTTCCCACACGAACATGAACGTGGCCATCTTTTCCAGAATTGTGGAATGAATTAAGTCTGTGAACCGAGGTACCACTGTACTTTTGGTTTCTCATATCAGAGAAACTGTACAGTATTTAATGTGTCAGATTTATTTCACTTAATATTATGGCTTCAAGGTGCATCCATTTTCCTACAAGTTACTAACATTGTTCCTTCTTTATAGTAGAACTTTTGACATAAGGAAAACTCTTCTAAAAGAACATTAGCAATGTTTACTTGCCTGTGATGTTCATGCTTCAAAAATTCTAAGTGAGGGCTGGGGATTTAGCTCAGCGGCAAAAGCGCCTGCCTGGCATGCGCAAGGTCGTGAGTTCGGTTCCCGGTACCGGAGAAAAATCAACAAAAAAAAAAAAAATTCTAAGTGAGGCTAGTCATCATCTAATTCAGCATTCATTCCCTGAAAGAATGAAATCATAAAGCGATGAAAATTTATAACTTTATTTTCACTTCCATAAACATTAGTGAAGCAGTAAAATTGTTAATTTGTCTATGAAAAAGGAAATGGATTCTTCCTCTAAGCTACTGTCAAACAGTGAAAAGCTATTAAACAGATCTGAGTGCTCTGTGAACTGAAGGATACTTTGAATTTCTTGGGGAACTTTAATTTTCCTAATACTCTATAAAGAAAAATCTCTTCTAATGTCTAAAAGATGAAATAAATACTAGATTTATCAGCAACCAGCCACCAAACGATAAAAGGGGAACAACCTTGTCCCATTAATTTTAGTAAGTGGCAGCCAAGGAAAAAAAATTTGATGCAGTTTACTCCACACCCTGACTTGTTTCCCAACAAGGCGTTTGGAGCAGGACAGTTCTTTGTACCATGTACTCCAAGACGGTGAGCACCCCTGGCTCTTTGCCTGTGGACACCAGTAGCATCCTTCATTCACTGTGACCACCAAAATAAAACGACCCCCACATATTCCCATATTCTCCCTACAAGTGTTGGGGCCAAAGGAAAAATCACACTATTGATTGAGAGTTATTATTTTTAATCCCATTCCCACATTCCAAGTGTATATTGAGGCAAGTTGAGTCTACAAAATACTGCCAGTCTCCAACTGAGGAGAATATTCCAAAAGTAAATAGGTCATTCTGTTAGTAAGAGGGAAAAAGAGAGGTAAGGGGACTGATGATTATTAGGAGAATTATTCTACAACAGTAATTTTCTCAGTCATTTGAATGGGTTCAACACACCATCAACCCTGTTCTTTTTTTCCTCACAAAAAATAGCCATGGGTACCAGCACTGAGAGAGTCACATAACCTTCTTAACAAATTGTGAGTTTCCCACAACCAGAGCATCCCACTTGCCCAGGTAGAATCCAGAAATCCACTGCCCAGTCTCTCCATTAGGCAGGATGCCAGTTTGTGCCCTAAATTCTGTCAGTCACATCTGCCCCAGACTTTGATTTGTAGGTGAGTAACTGCATGGGTAGATAAGATGCAGAGTACAGACTCACACTAAAAATACAGGATGGGTGTTCAAAAGTATTGGGTGGGCACAGTGAATGCTGTAACATACATGCAGGTATTACAGATGCAGTCCAGTCTCATTTGACTACTACCTCCCAATCCCAGCTCCTTTCTTGAAGGGAAACACAACTGCCAGTATGATGTGTCTCCTGGCACTCCTCTCATTACCTGTTCGCCCAGTTTTACTAGTGCCCACTGAAAATGTATGATGCTGTTTTGTTTATATGTGGAATCATTTGATACGTAGTATTGGGCATAGTATTCTTTGCAGTCTAGATATAGTTGCAAAGAATACTATGCTTATCTTATACGTTCTCTTTGGAATTTCTTGAACCTGTACACAAGTGTTTCTCTAGGAGATACCCTAAGTGAAAGTGCTGGGTCATGATACATGAATATTTTTTATTTTGTAGATTTAGCCCAATGATTTATATTCTTGTAATAGTATCTAAAAGTAACCATTTCCTTGTACTCTCAGGTATCATATTTTCACTATAATTGTATACAATTTAATAAATATAAAGCATATCACGGATCTAATAATATCTTTGGTCCATTTACTAGTTAGGTTGAGTATGTTTTCTTATTTTTGTGTTTTATGTATACCCATTTACATTTTCTTTTCTGCTCTTATTCTTTGCTCACTTTTAATGCTTTTACTTTATTTATAGATTCTGGTTGGTTGTTAATGTTCTTGAGATGAATCGTTTCTGTGTTGTCTTCCTTATTTTGTTTTATTTAAACTTTTTATAGTGTCCTTTGTCCTAATAAATTTCCCTTTAGCTTTTAATTTTTAAAAAAAATCTTACTTAAACTGGACATAGTGTAATCTCAGCTCTCTTAGACGCTAAGACAGTACGATCAAAAGTTTGAGCCCAGCCTGGGAAACTTAGAAACTCAGTGAAAATCTGTGTCAAAATAAAAAATAAAAAAAGGACTGAGGATGTAGCTCAGTGCAAAGCCCTGGGTTCCATCCTACCACACGTGAAAAAAAAATAATAATTTGTTTTTGCACCAAGAATTTAACTCACAACCTCGCACTTGCCAGGCAGGTGCTGTGTTGCTGAGCTATATCCCCGGCTAAAATAATAATAATTAATTAATTACATAAAGTAAAATATTTAGAAGGTCTTTCCACCACCAAAGAAAAACATTCCTGTAAATTTTTCTTTTCATATTTGTGTGTATTTTCCTCAATTCTTTAGATTTCTTTTGGTTTGTTTGTTTGTTTGTTTGTTTGTTTTTTGAGACAGAATCTCGCTGTGTAGTTCAGGCTGGCCTTGAACTCACTATATGGCCCAGACTGGCCTAAACTCATGGTGATCCTCCTACCTCAGCCTCCCAAGTCCTGGGATTATAGGCATGTGCCACCACCATGTCTGGCAATTTTTTAGATGTTTAAACCCATCTGAAATTATCTTTCTGAGCAGTATCAAATAAAGATGCATTATTTTCCAAATGGATAGTCAATGTTTCCTATACTATTCTGTGAAAAACACATACTTTCAACAAATTTAAAATGCTACCTTTTCATATACTGTTTCTATATAGTCATGGTTGTATTAACAAGTCTATGTCTTTAATGTCTCCCCACTTACACTGTGTTCAAAAGATACTCAATTTAATCTTTTCTTTCATTCCAGAAAGCTTCCCATTGAACAGTTCTATTATTTGACACAGAACAAAAAAAGTGACCTCTATGGAAATGATTCTTTGTAAGTCTGGAGATTATTCCCTGGCCTATATTAAATTAAATAATATTTTAAGTGAAAATAAATTTATGTGAGAAATTTAAAAACCTCACATGGGGACTTTTTGAGAAAAAAAATTCTTTTTATTAAAATAGAGATCATTAATAGTAGAAATCAAGACTAAACAAAAAATAAATGAAAGCTAATAGTTTGTAGCATTTAAACAAGTGAACAAAAATTTTAAAATAATGAATAGTAATGTTCAAAGGGATTCCTGCGGGTCATCTTGATCTGTTTCCCTGCCTTTGATCTATTTACTTAATCTAATAAGAATCTGTTTCTTTAAAGAGTCATAGAAAATGCCACAGGGGCCCTCAACAATTTTTTAATTGGAATTTTATGAGGAGAGAGGTATGTTAGGATCATCCACAAGTAACTCTCAAAAATTACTCCTTTGGTAATTTTCAGCTGCCCTTCAGGTAAGGAATAGTGGTTAATGAACTCTATACTTAAAAGATATTATTTTCCAGTACATTAAATTATTTCTGTTCTTTGAAATAATTTATTGTGTGTATTACAAAATAATAAATTGTTATTTTCAAGTAAGAAAACGGACAGAACTGAATGATAAAAATAGCTCTTCTTTACCTTAACTGTGATTTGATATCTGTCCTGGGTTGAGAAGTTAATACAATATAAGATGTAACCACTAGAGGGAACCAAAAAGACAGAACTTGTGTTTGCCTGAGCTTTATCCTTTTGAACGTAGTGAACTTTGCAAAGTGCGTGTGGAGCATGGCAATAGGATAAACTATCTGGGTCAAGGAAGTGGTGTTTCTCAACATTTGTTACTTTCTTTTTATTTCTTCCGATTTTGAATTTTTAAAAAAGATTTCCCTTTATTTAAAAAAACTGTATTAGTTCTATTTTCAATCAAATTAATTTTAGTCATATACTTACCAATATCTTAGTGGAATTTGTCACATAGGAACAGTTACAGATAATAGTAGCTAATGTTTTGCATACAGTGGCCAACCTAGTAACTAAATCCCTTGCACTGGCGTCATTCATCTCTAACCTCCATCTCAAAACAGGAAATGATTTTTTTAGCTCTGCTCCCACAATCTCAGAGTCCAGTTATATAAACTTTTATGGTTTATGTGAATTGTGTGTTTATAATGCATTATGGAATAATAAAGTTATATGACCAGCATACCACTTTCCGGTGACTATCCTCTGGCCTGGAGGAGGATCTGAAAAACTAAACAGTGTATTCAATTTTTACCGTCTAACTGATAGCACTGTGTTCATTTTTCATGTCTGAAATCTTTCAGTCTTAGTCGCGTAGACTGTAACTCATCGCCAAAGTCAAATGTAAGTGCATCTCCACCCATCTGTGGTAGTCCCTTTCTAGGACGTGGCATTCTTTCTTGGCATGCAAAGTTCCAAGTAGCTAACCCAAGCACAATGTTGGAATGAACCAGTTCCGAAAGGGCATGCCTCTAGGAGCTTTGTCAGTTTCATTATATCCTCTCTCTGCTGACGGGCCCGCCTTTACTGTGATGAGAGGTCAGCAACCCTGGGCAAAGGGACAGAACACACTTGGCACTTACGTATCCTGTCCAAGTAGGCCATAACTGGTCACTTCAGGTCACGCTGCTGCAGCACGTGGGTGATGCCCGGCTCCCTCAGGGCTCTCGTCACTCTCTGCCTGGTTGTGGGAGTGAAGGTCACTGAGGACCCAAGCTTTCTTATCAGTACATGTTGTCGGCCCCTGTACCTGCACTGCAGATAAGAAATGCACAAAGGCTGGTGACAAGGGCTGAAGTTGGAATAAATGGATTGGAAAAATTGACCAATGGACAAATGAGATATAAAAAATACTACATCCCTCTATCTTATCAATATGAACACTTCCAAAAAGTTAATAAAAATATTCTAATGACAGTTTAGTTTGAAAATGGGATATGTCTTTAGTCTTTTTGTTTTGTTTTGTTTTGTTTTGTTTTTTGAGGTTTTTTTGTCTTTTTGAGACAGGCTCTTGCCATGCAGTTCAGGCTGGCCTTGAGCTCAGTTTGTAGCTCAGGCTGGTCTTGAATTTGCAGCTATCCTCCTGCCTCAGCCTCTGGAGTAATGGGATTACAGGCATGCACCACCACCCTGGCTAATAGGTCTTTATTCTTAAGCAGGATTGCAGTAGAAATACAAGGCTTAAAGAAATCCTTAATTTAATTTAGTATTTGTTTACTGTTTTTATTCTAGGTTGCCCAAACCACCAAATTCAGCAGTAGAGTAAGTATACAACGTACATTTTCCTCCCCTGTTATACTCAAGGAAAAAACCCTGGCATTCCATATGACTAAGACGGGTGGGAGGACAAGTTAGACTTCTCATGAAAGCTGTTTTATAAGGATACCGGTCTTGTTGGAATAGGGGCCTACTCTAAGATGACTCCTGTTAATTATTATGGATAGATCAACACTTTTCCAAATTAAATCACAACATAAGGCCTTTGAGGTTGGATTTCAACATAGGGATTTTGGAGAGAGAAAAATTCAATCCATAGCATTGGTCTTGGTTTTCTCTTAATTTTCTAGTTAAAATAACATGTCTCTATTCCTTGAACTGCCAAATCTCTGTTTTCTTCTAGTTTAGACAACCTTTAAGTGTTTTTGTGTTGTTTTCCTAACCCTTCGCCAGTTCTGCAAGTGATAAGAACTTGTCTTCAACTTGTTTTTGTTTCTTAGTTACTTGTTCTCCTTGCTGAGACAAAATATTCATACCTAAAATTAACTGAGGGAGGGTTTATTTTGGCCTACAGTTTGTAGAGGTTTAGGTCCATAATCCACTGGCTCCAGGGCTGGGTGGCACATGGCAGAGGGCAACACAGAGGAGAAAACACAGTTCACAGTGTGGAGGGTGGAAAGCAGGAGGCAGCAGAAGCAGTAAGCAACAAACAACAGCAGCCCGAGTCCTGTCCCTTATATCTTATCCTGGCTACGCTCCCTTAGGGTGAATAGCACTCTCACCCAGGTGGGGCAGCATTAATCCTAGCCTTATGGAGCCATGAATCCATCCCAGCATCACATCCGTAATCCCAGCATCACACAGTCTAGATCCACCCATCTCCAAAAAAGCCCCACCTATGGTCACAGAGGCTTTGTGGGGATGTCTAGACACAAGCCATAACAATGGTCTAGCTAATTTGGGCTTTTTTGTTTCAAAACAGACTGTGTACAGTATACTTTGTTGGTTGATTGTTTAACAAAATAATCTGGAATAAAAGTTTAATTCAAGATGATTGCATTACTTAAACACCCAAAAGTCTCCATAAAATAAAGTCCTTGATCCTTTAAAAACAAGAATTAGGGCCAGGGATATAGCTCAGCGGCATAAGTGCCTCCCTGGCAAGTGCAAGGTCCTGAGTTCAATTCCCAGTACCAAAAAAATAAAAACAAAAATTGAAAGCAAGTAGAAATTCTTCCTGTCCATTCTAAGAACTATAAAATTTACCTGTCATCTGCTTTATATCAGTTATGGAAGTTATTCACAATAATAAGGTGCGATATCTTTAAAAATAAATTTAGTAGGGCCGGGGATATAGCTCAGCGGCATAAGCTCCTGTCTGGCAAGCTTGAGGTCATCAGTTCGATTCCTGGTACCAAAACAAAAATAAATAAATAAATTTAGTTTCTATTTGTGTAGCAAAATTCAGAACATTTCATGTTTAATGCCAGATATTCCATAGAATGTTAACGTCATGAATACGGACAATTGGGGTCACTATGATATCCCCAAGGATTGGAATGGTATCTGCCACAACCAGGGGTCCAAATAAGTATTTGATAATCTTTTTCATTGTACTTCTTTTTCTCCTGTTTCTGTTTTATTTGCTCTGTAAACCCTAGGGAAATCTGCTCGCCATATCCAGTTGAACACCCGTACCACACACACACCTCTCGCTGTGCCATGTTCCCAACCTTCACCTTGCCAAAGGAGCTCTACCCAGGTGTTAAAGCCCGCACCCAACGGCCATTTCCTCCCACCGTGCCAACCAAGGCTTATGATACAACAGTTTTAAAGACAAGAGGTAAAATGGGACTTGAAATCATAATTGTATGAATTCTTTTTTTTTTTTTGGTTTTTTTCCTGTACCGGGAATCGAACTCACGACCTTGCGCTTGCCAGGCAGGTGCTGTGCCGCTGAGCTAAATCCCCAGCCCCATAATTGTATGAATTCTTAGGATTGGAGTTTATTCAGTGTTAAAATTAAACCAGGGAACACAAAGGACTCGAGACACAAACGTGTAACCAATCATAGTTTAAAAAGTGGGTGCATGCATGATCGGTGGGGACCGTGCCCCAGTCCAGTTAATGCAGACTGCAGACATTCCTGACCTTTCTACTTTCCACTCAGCCTGTACGGTAGACTCAGAAACCAAAACTTCGTTGAATTGGTTGTCTTCATTCTGCTTGTGTTTTCTTTTATTGCTTCCTGCTCTTTAAAGTTTAGTTTTTAAAAGTTAGAGATTGCCATTGAAGTAAGGCAGAAGGAAATGGAAGCAGTTTCTCTAACTACTCTGGAGCATCTTCTCACACCACAAACTTTGGAGTTTTCCTGGATGTGTTTTATTAGAGAGGGCAGGGCTGGGGATATAGCTCAGTGTCATAAGCACCTGCCTAGCAAGTGCAAGGTCCTAAGTTCAATTCCCAGTACCAAAAAAAAAGAATGTGCCAGGCTTGGTGGCTCATGCCTGTAATCCCAGCACTTGGGAGGCTGAGGCAGGAGGATCCTTGCAAGTTCGAGACCAGCCTGGGCTACAGAGTGAGCTCAAGGCCAGCCTGAACGACATAGCGAGACTCTGTCTCAAAAAGACAAAAAAAAAAAAAGAGAGAAGATGGTAATCCCCACTCCAGTCACTGAGACTGTCCCACACCAACACCTCAGTCCTTCCTGAAAAGACCTGCACATGCGTGAACACAGAAAAAAAGACCTCTGGGAAAAGATGGAAGATACTAGAGAGAGGGTAATTGAAGGTGCAGGAAAGGCACCAGGTAGGCAAAGGCTTTTTTTGTTCAATAGGTTTAGTCAGGGAAATACCGTAGGCACAACTCAAGCAATGGACCTATAATGCAGTTCCTCTGTGTATGAATACTTAGGCAAAAAGGCAAGGACAGAATACTTCCATCACCAGTATCAGCCGACCTTAGGACCTTAAAGCAGACACAGTAACATTTGGAGTGAAGGTGTTGAAGGGCAGGGACTCTGGAGTCAGATTGCATGAGTGGAGTTCTGGTCTGCCAGTTACTCCCCATGGATGATGAGTGCTTTCTTCTCTGGCTCTGTGTCTTGATCTATGAAGTGGGAATATTAGTGCCTGCACCAGAGATGACAGAGATAAACACTAGCAGTTATTATCTTTATTACTCTGATGTCGTATAATGACTCCAGTATGTGTACCCCACAGTGAACTTCTCTGTTACCTCTCGGGCCAGTCAGAACTGATACAGGCCGTGCAAGCTGTATCAAGTATAATGGCCGTTGAGTGTCACTGTCATACTTAGTTATAGGGCAGCAGTGAGACAAGTACAGAAGTTCTCGAGATGTGATACCTACATAACTGAAATTTTATGATCTTGTTAGGGAAATGGTCAAAGTAAATCCCTCTTTCCATTCTGAGTTAGGTAATTTCGGAAAGTATATGAAGGCATATCATTAGCAGGCAGTCACAGAAACATGGGTTGAATTCATAAAAACAGCTTTCACTGCAGTCATAGATAAGGAGCTAAGAAACAAGTTTCCTTCCTAGTTGTCTACCCTCCCCACATCTACTTCTCTCTGACCAACTCAGTAACTCTTAGGAGATTTTAAAAAGGTGAGTACACGTTAATAACACTTGTTAAAAGATCTTTCCAGAAACCAGTACTATTGTTTTCACTTATGTTTTTTTATTAGAAATACATAGCAGATATCCTCTGGAACTAGATTGCCTGAGTTTAATCTCTGCCTACTAGCTGTTTGCTTCAGTTTCTGCATTTTCTGTGTGCCCAAGTTTCTTTGTTTACTGAAGTGGGAATATCAGTACCCCCCTCTTAATAGTGTTATGAAAATCCATGTACTGATACAGATAAAACATTTGTACAATGCCTGGCACATAGTAAGTGTTCAATAAATGCCAGCCTCTGTTCTTATTATATATGAGAGTGGGTGCTAAGAGCATTCTTTAACTTAACAGTTAGGATGAGATCAAACCATACTGGGTTTGGTACAGCATATCAAATTGCAAACCAAAATCTAAGAATGTGTATTATTTAAAATATTCTCTCTCACGGGGTGTGGTGGTGCACACCTGTAATCCCAGCACTCAGGAGGCTGAAGCAGGAGGATCATTGCAAGCTCAAGGCCAGCCTGAACTGCATAGTGAGACCCTGTCTCAAAAAGACCCCCCCCAAAAAAAATTCTCTCTCAATATCTTTGGTAAACAGGTACTAACTCCATTTTTGAAAGCTCTTGATATGTAGCAGAGAAAAGCCAAAGCAGGTAGTAAAACTGCATGTAGTGAGCCTCCAGAGACCAGGAAGAGGATCCTGGCAGGTTCATTATATGCCTGAGGGTCTCTCATTAAGCACTAGTTCGCTCTGTTACTGCTGAGGATGGTAGGGTTCGAGACCCACTCTTTGTGGCCCACATGCTGCTAAGGAAAGGGCTCAGGACAGCAAGAGGAGGCCTCAGATCTCAAAGCTGTGACAAGGGGAGGGGGTGTAGCTCAGCAGTACAGTGTGTGCTTAGCCATAATTATATAGCTGAATGCTTCCCAACCTTTATCTCTAACTCATATTGTATCTGTTTATTGCACCCATAAATCTTATTAATTGAAAGGCTTTTTATTTATCCCTCGTAATAGTGCTTTCCTGAAATTTTCAGGTAATCCTTACAGATATGAACTGCTTGATTTCCCCATGGATTCAAAGAAGAAAGCATTGAGTTGGCCGGGTCAGGATGTATATTATGACGTAAGTAGAATGTATGTTTATTTGCAGGGGTTTTTTTTTGTTTTTTTGTTTTTTTTTTTGAGACAGGGTCTCGCTATGCGGTTCGGGCTGGCCTCGAGCCCAGTTTGTAGCCCAGGCTGGTCTTGAACTTGCCACAGTCCTCCTGCTTCAGCCTCCCAAGTACTGGGATTACAGGCGTGCTCTACCATTCCTGGCAGAATGTGTGTTTAACAGAAAGTAAACTGCATATTTACTCAGTAAGTTCATAAAGAGTTAAAAGATAGTTTGTGTTATTTGCTATTTAGGTGAAACATGAGATTTGGACTGTGATTTGCATTTTTCTTTTTGTCTTTTTGAGACAAGGTCTCACTAAGCAGTTCAGGCTGGCCTTGTGCTCACTTTGTCACCCAGCCTGGCCTCAAACTTGCAATGATTTTCCTGCCTCAGCCTCCCTAGTGCTAGGATTACAGGCATGCACCATCATACCTGGCAAATTTTTCTATTTTCTTACCTAATTTCATATACGATACTTGGATAGTTATGGAAAATTTCCACAGTTACTTAAAGTTTCCCCCAAAAAAAGGTATTGAGGAAGGACTATATTTCCCACACTCTATTTCCCTAACCCTGTTAAGTAAGACTCATGGTATACCAAGTAATTACAAATATGCATAGAGTAAATGGGAGATTTTCAGAAAGACTTATAAGCTATTATTGTTCCAGATTGCTAGTACATTGCTTGAAGTATAAAATAAAACAATAGCCACCATTTATTGAGAAATTACTACATACTAACCATTTTAGATATGTCATATTGCCTTACAATACCCTCATAAATATCATCAGTCCCATTTTAGAGATAAGGAAACTGAGGCTCAGTTTGTCTTGAGCACAGAACACAGGTCTGTGAGACTAATTTTTGCTCTTAACTATAACACCACAGGAACAGAAAATTTTAAATCGTGAGGGAAAATACCTAGACATTTGAAAATAAAAATAGCTACCATTTATTGAGCAGGCAATACCTTTGTGAGAGGCAATACCAAGAGTTTTCAGCATATGATCCCTTTGCTCTAGCAGCCTATGAGACAGGCAAAAAATAATTATGAAATGTTGGAAACACTGGCGTTTGGGGGAAACCGTTATGGCAAGCCAACCTGTGGTCATTGGAGTGACGCATGGTGTAAGCAATTTCCTATTTGTTTTTTAAAGTTACATGTCAGGCCAGGTGTGGTGGCACATGCCTGTAATCCCAGCACTCGGGAGGCTGTGGCAGGAGGATTGTTGCAAGTTCGAGACCAGCCTGGGCTACAAAGTGAGCTCAAGGTCAGCCTGAACTACATAGCGAGACCCTGTCTCAAAAACACACAAAAAAAGTTATATGTCAGAAGAGTCCTTGAAGAATCACCAAATATTTTAGCTCCCTTTCATTTAAGCGACCCAGAAATAGGAGAGGTTGTTTTCAGACCATCCTGTCATGACATGTTGTTGTAGCCACAGTCTCCACTCTGCAGGACAGTTTCTTCCTACTCACTGAAGTGCTGCTTTTTTCATGTCACCCTCTTCTGCAGCCACCTTGAATAGCTTCCCTTTGCCCGATGTAAATCCCAAAGCTCTGAGTTGAGACACCCTGAAGGATCTGGCCTTACTTCCTGCCTGGCAGCCCGCCCCTCTGGCTGGGCCCTGAATAGGTTACCCCGGTTCCCTTTCCTGGAATGCCTGTCTAAAACCTGCTCATTCTCCAAGCTCCGCCGAACTGTCCTTTTTATTCTTTAGTAGAGCAAGAACCGAGTCAGAAGACCTGCATTCTAGGTAGTCCAAGGTTGCCTTTTACTGACTCAGTGATACATTTGTAAGCATAATGTTTCTCTTCTCTGACTTTTAACCCATACAATATATCTGCATAAATTCAGTAAATCTGTCCTACAAATTTCATAAGCCCTGAGGATCACATGAAAGTTCTGAAAATTGGAGAATACAGGACTGTAAACTGCAAGACATTCTTATTACTCCCGCAGAAGTGGTATCTCCTCTGGCTTTCACCTCACTGTCATCAACCAGTGACTTTTCACATCTGTCTTATAGCTCAACTAAATTACATGCTCTTTGAGGACAGAATATTTTTTGTGTACGCCCCACTCCATGCTTTGTATGTAAATACTTTTGACTGATTTGATTCTTCATCTTCTTTCTAATGTTTAATCTCACTTTCTTGATCTGTTCTAACTGGATTTAATTTTCCATTTTTCAGTCTCTTTTTTTTTTTTGTTTGTTTTTTTGTTTTGTTTTGTTTTGTTTTTTTGCTCATCCTTAACCCCAATCAAGTTTTGCACTTTCCTAGACAAAGAAATAAAAACAAAATTGATATTGAGCTTTATGGGAGTACCTTGTGGCTCACCTATTTTAATTTCATTTTTTTTGTAATGTTAAAGGACAGTGCCTTGTACTTGCCTTCCATTTTCCTACCTTTTACCCCTTAATTGGCAGAGGTAGTCAAAAGAGAGTTGAACTTTCTCTGCACTTGTTAAAGGAGAACTTTGTTTTAAAAAAAGAATCTGAGAATCTAACCCAGGGGTGCCTTACTACTGAACTACATCCTCAGCCCTTTTTATTTTTTGAGACAGGGTCTTTTTAAGTTACCCAGGCGGGACTCAAACTTCCAATCCTAGTATTGACCGTTCCTATCACTAGAGCGGTGGCGCTCAACCATGGCTGCACATTGGAATCACCTGGGGCACTTGTAGAACTCCCAGTTCCCCTTGCACTCCTTGTTCCGTAGCTCATTCTGTGAGGGTGGGACCCACAGCAAGAAAGCCTGCTGGGCTGGGATGCTTCTCTCCCCTCCTACACCCAGCGGAGGAGGGAGGACTCCAATACTGTACCCCAATAAGTAGTTCCTAACCTGTGTCACCTAGCCATAAAAAAAACTCTAGAAACTGTTTTAGTAGTTTTCATCCATGCCAATAAAAAAAATGTTTTTAACATATTAATAATGAATGAGCCAGGCGTGGTGTCACACACCTATAATCCCAGTGCTTGGGAGGTTGAGGCAGGAGGATCATTGCGAGTTTGAGACCAGCCTGCGCTACAAAATGAGCTAAAAGGCCAGCCTGAACTGCACAGCGAGACCCTGTCTCAAAAAGATCAAAAACAAAAAAAAATGAAGGCTAAGGAATATAGTTCAGCAGTACAACACCTGCCTGGCAAGCCCAAGGTCCTTGGTTCAATTCCCAGGACCAAATCATCATCATCATAAATGAATTTTAAAGTGGTTCAGCTCCTGGCTCTAAAACTCATTGCTGTACGACCTGGGTAATATGCTTAATCCTTTAATATGAATTTCCTAATAGATGAAACAGGAGTAATAGTAAAATCACCTTGTTAGGATTGTCCTGAGAATGAAATGTATATAAAAGCTCCTAGAGGGCCGGGGATATAGCTCAGCAGCACAAGCACCTGCCTGGCAAGCGCAAGGTCCTGAGTTCAATTCTCAGTAACACACACACACACACAAAGGAATGCACATATTTCCAGACTTGGAGCCGGAGATACAGCTCAGTGGCACAGTGCCTTGCTTGGCAAGCACAAGGTCCTAAATTTGATTCCCAATAACACACACACACACACACACACACACACACAAGGAATGCACATATATCCAGACTTGGGGCCTGGGATATAGCTCAGCGGCACAATGCCTTGCTTGGCAAGCGCAAGGTCTAGAGTTCGATTCCAGGTACAAAAAAAAAAAAAAAAAAAAACTCCTAGGCAACATCATTGAAGATAACAGTGGGTAACGTAGCAACCACTATAAATTCTTATCACTTTGTTTTGAGGTCATGTATTGTTTTTGTTGTTTTTGTGCTGTTTTGATTTTGTCTTCATTGTTGTTTTGTTAGTTTTTTTAATTTTTAAAATAAAAAAACCTCCCAGGACCCTATTAGTACATAATGAGCACATAATAAACGTCAGGTGCTGTCAGTATTATTTATTCATTTATTACAGTGATTATACTACATAGTTTACCAAGCAACAATAAGAAATTGGGTAATCTTAGAAAGAAAAACATTCCAAATAAGAGGGCTTAGCCTTTTAAAATTGAGATGCTGGGGCTTAATTTTAACAGAATATTTTAAATGTCGTCTTGCCATCCTCCTTTCCAGTTACCAGTGTGAAACCTGTGCCACAGGATTCCCTGAGCACTAGGTACCTCTTTCCTGTCCTGACCAGAGCTGCCCTGTGTTCTGTCTTCTGCCTGTCCGTTTTCCCCACCAGTGGTTACTGATCCTTGCACGCCTCCCCATAACCAGGACCTCTTGCTGCCTCTCTCTGCCTGCTGCGATCTCTTGTCACTAACCATTTCCATTACCAACTCAACCATCCGTGGCTTTTGCTTTTACAACTGGCAAACATAAACACATGTTAATATTCAACTCTTTCCAGCTGTTTATGTCATTACTTTTCAAGTGGCTGGCAACTTCAGTCCTGTTTCTCAAGAACAGAGGCATCTAGTCTAAGCTTTCTATATATATATATATATATAAAAATAGTCATAAAAATGAAATTTAACTTGTAATCACCTTTTAAGTAAGGTGAGATATTATCATAGAGGTATCATAAACATCCCCACGAAACTACTTGAAATGTTTTATCAAAACCTACCTGAACCTATTAACATAGTCATTGTAACCATTTTCCTTAAACCTCAGTGTACAGGTAGTCCCTTGGATTTCCCCAAAAGACAGCTCACTTGTATTACCGAGCAAAAGAGCTGAGCCCCCCGCCTCATTTCAGTCTAAAATGCCCTTCACTTTCCCAGAGTCCCTATCCCTGGAGCACAGTTGTTTCTCCATGACAGCACCCGTAATCCAAACTCATCCTCAATGGCAGTAATGGTTTCGGTGAGCACATAGGCAGCTCTTCTGGAAAAGCATCATCAGATAACTGGATCCCCGAAAGTGGACCTCTCCATTGCCGCCAACACCCGCTGCCCCACCTCCCACCCGCTTGGCCCTGTACCATCCAGGGAATCCAGAACAGGCAACAAAACGGCACTCATGTCCCCGCCACCCATGCATTCTGTCTTGAGACTCAGCCCGCGAGTTTCCTGGTTCCGTCTTAGCAGCGCTCTTCAGCACCCTCTTGCCCTCTTTCCCTCCCACACCCTAACTAGACACCAAAAAAAGTCCCTGAGCCGCTCTCTTACCTGCTCCCTCTCTGTCGCCCTGTCCTATATCCTGTGGGGCCTCTCTCTTTATCCTGTATACAAATGAACAGCATTCCTAATCATAACTTTTTAGTGTGAAAGGGATGTTAATACAACAGATGAAATACCTGTGTTAACGCAGTTAAATGAAGTGCTACCCAGCAAGGACCCAGTGTCCCGAGATGCTAAAGTCCATCCAAAGGGCAACATGGTCTTCGTAATAAACCTAGTCGTGCTCCTTAATATTCCTAGGTAAGTCTCATCATTCAAAATTAGAAACAAATCTGTACTTTAAGTTTTTATTTACTGTATTACCATCCATATGATTTTCTGAGATTTTAGTGGAGTTTATGGAGATTTGGCCCTGACACAGAGCCCTTGGACTCTTGCACAGAGTTTTGCAAATAACAGGTATTCAGTAAAAATTCATTAAATGTGATGAGCTACCTATATTTCATGGCCTGTGTTGGAAATGTAACCACAGTCTATAAAGCATTATTCCTCTAAAAATGTAATCCAAACTCAAGAAACACGAACATCACTCCTTAATAAACGAAAATGTCAGGAACTGGAATTCCTTTCCGCCTGGTCTCACCTTCACATCAGATACAGACTCCCCTGGGCACAGTAAGCTTCACCGTGAAAACCTGTCACACGCATGATCGCCACCAGCGCCTCTCTCACCATCCTCGCAGAGTAACATCACCTTAGTGCACCAAAGAGTAACCTCCCTCTACCTGCATAGGTATCCTGGCTCATTTAAACCCCTTCTCAAGACACTGCATGCTACACTGACTTTCACATTTCCTATCCTCGTTCTCAAACCCTAGACTGCATTTCAGTGAGTCACTGCTCTCAGTTCAACCAATATTTGAAAAAAGTCCTTATTTATTTCCAAGTAAGCTGGCTCTGTAAATAATTGAAAAGATAAGGGGAACAGAAAAGGCATTCTTTACCCCTGAATAAGCAAGTCATGTACTGTTTGTTAAATGGTTATAGAGAGAGTTATTTAATATTTCTTGAAACAGACTTCCAAGTATCTTTTACCAGGACACTTTTAAGAAAATTGGAGTGGAGCGTGGTAGCACACACCTGTAATTCGAGCACTCAGGAGGCTGAGGCAGGAGGGTCATTATGAGTTCAAGACCAGCCTGGGCTACAAAGTGAGCTCAAGGCTAGCCTGAACTGCATAGCAAGACCCTGTCTCAAAAAGAAAAAAAAAAAAGAAAATTGGGGTCACTTCAACTCTACAGGGGTGCTTGGAACAGCATCTTCCTTAGGCCCAGGAGCTTTGTAAGGACCCCACGCTTTAGAGGGCCCAGCGCTGCATGTACAGGTGCTCAGTAAATATGTAATTAGTGTCATCTATTGGAGAAAAGATGGATTTCTAAGTTAACGAGACACTGCAGTGAAACTCATTCATTCCTTCCTATTTACATGCATACCTCTTGAAAATAAAGGAAAACTCCACAGTTAGATCTGAAGAATGAAAATTAAACTTGAGTGACTTAATAACCTGCATCATAAAGTTATAAAAGATATCACATGGTTTCATTCCAGGCAGGGAAGGAAACATAGTGCACAATTTTGGCTAAAGGAAGCTAAGAGCACCGCAGCACCCACTGTATGTCTAATAAAATTTTACTGCAGGCAGAGCATCCAGGGACAGTTCTCCAGCATAAATTATTAGAGGCGTTTAGAAAAGACCTTACGATTTCTTTGATAAAATGTTGTCAGTAATTCTAAATCTGGCTACGGTGAACAGCCACTGTGCTTAGCTTGAACATTAGTAATTAGTGATGGAAAAAAACTTTCGCCAGCCTGGACTTCCCTTTGCCCCCTTCCTGCTGAGATAGTGAATCAGCTCCTACTCTACTAGATGACGTTAACAGAAATCATATTTATGTTTATATTCTAGTTTCCTAAATGTCTTGAGAAAAATAAGCCAGTGTTCTACCCAAGGCCGCCGAAAACCTTTGCTCCTAACACTTCTTTAAATTCATGGGATGCTATTAACTCTGCAAAAGAGGCCAACATACAGAGAAATCTGGAAAGGTCGCATTGGGTCACTTCATACAGTCATGATTTTACAGGTATGTGTTCACATTAATACAAGGAACAGTGACAGTAAAGTTGGAATATGCAGCAAAGGACAAATGGTGTCACAAGCTTTTGTCATCTAATATTTTTCCCCGTGTCTCAGTCTAAGTACTAATTCAAATAAGGGAGATGGTACATTTCTCTTCAATGGGCAGCTAGGAGGCAGAGTTTCATTTTCACCTTATCGGTTCTGTACAAAGTTGTCCTATAAAAGGTAATTTGATTATTCTTCATTTATTCTACCAAAATAATAAGACTGTTTCCATTAAGGTTTGGGACCCATGAACCCTCTTGAACTGGATGATTACCACGAAAAGAAAGTAGCAGCCTTAGCAGGACAGACAGAATTTGACCCACTGCCTGTAAGTAATTGCAATGACCTCTCAGTTATCTATGTGAGGAGTACCCAAGTGTTGAATTCCTTGCTTTGCCCACCTTTTATTTATGTCATGCATACTGCAGGCCATGCTACTAAAAAGAAAATCTATCTCATTTTAGAAGCTTAATTCTGAACTCATCTTCACTGTTTAAAAAGTTTCTTCACAGTGCAGTTTTTTAAACAGATTTTCTATTATGCTACTATTGCTAAAATAACTTCCAAAGAAATTGGTTTACCAAAAAATAGAGTTTAACATCTGGATGTGGTGGCACAAGCCTGTAAAACCAGCACTTGGGAGGCTGAGGAAGGAGGATTGCCATGAGTTTGAGGCCAGCCTGGGCTACATAGTGAATTCAAGGCCAACCTGAATTAGAGGGAGACCCTGTTTCAAAAAAAAAAAAACTAATTAAAAAAACAGAACTCAGCTGGGTGTGGTGGTGCACACCTGTAATCCCAGCACTTGGGAGGCTGAGGCAGGAGTATCTTTGCAAATTCAACCTAGGCTACACAGTGAGCTCAAGGCCAGTCTAAACTGCACAGTGAGACCCTGTCTAAAAAGACCAAAAAAAAAAAAAAAAAAAAAAATAGAGCTTAACTAGTAATTTAGTGAGATTCTTAATAAATTTTGGCTCTTTGCATATTTGTATATTTTATACATACCATTGCTTTTGAAGAAACACAGTCTTCCTGATACGATAACTGAGTTGGCTGAATTATAATCAAAATCCAATAAATTCTCTACCTATATCAGTAGGAGTTTCTTAATTAATTATGTGACATGGTCTGGAAAAAATGATCAGTCCCTTTCATGACAGAAGGTATAACCTGTTCACTTAATTATGAAAATTAAATGAAAGGACCTAATAGTATGCATATATGTTATCTGAGGCCTAAATTTTATCCTGTACAACTATAGAGGATATCAAAAGATATAAGTCATGAAGAGACACATGAAAGACAACTCTAAATTTGTTTCAGTATGGATTCTTTTTAGACTGAGCTGAACACAATGATTTTACATTAGCTTCGGCATTTCCTATGGTGTGATATAAATCATAAAACCAGAAATGAGCCCATGGACTGTGCTGTGTCATTCACTGAAGGGTTGTTTTGCGTTTTCACTTGCAATGGGCATTCTCTGTTGCTGGAGATTATATGCTCTGACACTGTCGGATGAGTTCAACAGCTGTCCAGATGTCCACCTTACCCTGTGATACAGTAAGCAGCTGTATCATTCTTACAAAGAGATACTTGTACAGTTATACAAAGGATGCTTGTAAAGTGTGACAAACACAAAATTACTATCCAAGCAAACTGACACATTTTTAATAGCAAGGTAGAATATACCTAACAGTAATTGGAAGTTTAAAAGTTTCAGTGAATCTTGCTGGTTTATGACTAAAACATAAACAACAAACTCTGGGAAAAACTTTTAATGGTGATAAAAATAGGTATGAAATTTTTTGTATACAATAAAATGTAATAAAAACTACTCCTTGTTACTATTAAGTGATATATTATTTGAAAACTGTTAAATGATACGACCAATTTTTTATTTTATTTTATTTTATTTGTTTTTTTGTCTTTTTGAGACAGTGTCTCGCTATGCAGTTCAGGCTGGCCTTGAGCTCCCTTTTTAGCCCAGGCTGGCCTCGAATTCACAGGGATCCTCCTGCCTCAGCCTCCCGAGTGCTGGGATTACAGGCATGCGCCGCCACACCAACAATGACCAATTTTTTAAATGATAAATTTAACAAAGCGGGCTGGGGATTTAGCTCAGGGCTGGGGATTTAGCTCAGCGGCAAAAGCGCCTGCCTGCCAAGCGCAAGGTCGTGAGTTCGGTTCCTGGTACCGGAGAAAAAACCAAAAAAAAAAAAAAAAAAAAAAAAAAAAAAAAAAAAAAAAAAAAAAAAAAAAAAAAAACAACAAAATTTAACAAAGCATGTCAGAGAGCTTGAGTTTTTCTTTTCTCTACAGTATGTTTACCCCAGCATGGTTAACTGGGAGTTATAACATTTTATTAGTGACTCAGTATAGAAATTCTCCCCCACTATTAATAGATTAGATTTCAAAAGGATGATCCTAAATTCATTCTTTTCAAAGTCCAAGTTAGTCCCATCAGCATCGCACATTCATTTACTTTTTTCTTCAACATATTATTATAAAAATTTTCAAACACAGAAAATTTTAATACTTTTACAGTTAACACTTACAGGCTCACCACCTAGATTCTACCACTAATACTTAAACATACTTGTTCTATGACATAATTTGTACATCTTTCCATCCCTCTGATCATCCATCAGGATACCTTATTTTTATTCATTTTACAATAAGCTGCAGGCAGTAGCATAATTCACAGCTACACCTACACATTTCACATCCATATTGTTAACCAGAGTTCGATATTTTTTGCTGTTCTTTTTTCTTTTAAGGTAAAATACACAATCATTAAAATTGTGCAGATCTTAAGTGTACATTCACTGAATTTAGACAAATACGTACACCTTGTATCCCAAATATCATTCTTCATGCCCCTCCCAGTCAGCCCCAACTCTTCCTCCTGACCCAGACATATCTCTATTCATGACACTTGGAGTATAATGCAGTTTTCAGATGTGATGGAGTTCATAATATTCATAAAACATTTCAGAAAGAAATACAGGCACAATATTTGTAACATATCTCAAAAATAAGCATGGGCCAAGCGTAGTGGCACATGCCTGTAATCCTAGCACTCTGGAGGCCGAGGCAGGAGGATCATTGTGAGTTCAAGACCAGCCTGGGCTACAGAGTGAGCTCAAGGCCAGTCTGAACTGCATTAGTGAGACCCCGTCTCAAAAGACCAAAAAAAAACCCAAAAGTATGAATAGGGGCTGGAAGAGTAGCTCAGTGGAAGAGTATGTGCTTTAGCATGCATAAAACTGGGTTTGATTCCCAGCACCAAGTAATAAAAATGGACAGGCATAAAACTCCAGACCAGTGCTTCTCGATGCATAGTATGACACTGGTCTTAACAGCAGCTGGGATCCTTAAAATGCAGATTCTTGAATTGAGGGAGTAGCACAATGGTACAGTGCATGCTTCACATACACAAGGCTCTGGATTCAATCCCCAGCACTGAAAAGAAAAAGAAAATACAGATTTCTGAACCTCAGTGCAAACCTTCTTAATCAGTCTTAGAAAGTCAAGCTTAGGAATATCACTATTTTTCTCTCAGCTCTAAAGAGGATTCTAATTCAGCCAATGTTTAAGAACCTTTGCCTGGGCCTAATGCAGAAGTTTTGGCTGAGATTTAAATAACTGCCCACCACTGTTAATTCCCTCTATTGGTGATGGTTAGATATTTCATTTCACTAATTCCTTTTATATATTTATAAGTTTGAAAGCAAAGAGTTCTCATATAAGAGTTCTCATGGTGGTGCATGCCTATAATCCCTGCACTTGGGAGGCTGAGGCAGGGGGATCGCTTCAAGTTGGAGGCCAGCAAGGCCAGCCTAAACTGCATAGCAAAACCCTGTCTAAAGAAAAACAAAAATTAGAAGAGCTTATTACCAAATAAAAAACATGACTTTTCCATATTACCTAAAACCAATAGAAGATAAAAATTTATTTATTTGGGCCCAGATTTCAGTGTCTTTAAATAAGTATCAAACAACCTTGCAATATGCATTCCTATACCCATCTTATTTTTACTCAGTGAAAATGGGTATAACTGTTGATCTGCCATTTGTGACAATATCCTTACAATGTCCTACTTATTAATCAGTTGATTTTCTCTTTTTTTATTACATTGCTACAGCAAGAAAAATTCCATCCTGTCTTTAAACCTTCCAGACCCTTGGAAGGGAGAATTGCCCGACTTAATCAGAACCGACGTCCTCTGGAGGCTACTGTCCAGCAAAGACCAGCTTCCTGCCCAGATTGTACTCCTGGAGTTTTGTGTGCTTTTCATACCTTTGTACCTAGTTCTACAGAAATGCTGGCACTAAGCAATTACATACCATCTGGTGTGACCCATAGAAACCAGGATATTGAAGAGAAGATTAAGGAAGAACAAAGCTTGCTGTCGACCTATACACTCCCATCTTGTAGCTCAGCAAAAGATCTCACCAGCATGTACGATACAAAACCGTTTCCAAAAATCACAGATACTCAAAAGACAGAAGATTTGTATTGGAGGCAGCTGTCATTAAAACGCCCACCCACACCTTACTGTAAATCGAATGATTACATTAACTATGAACTTGTTAAGTCTGCTTTACATGATCCGTATACTGCATGTCAAAACCCTGTTAGCTTTAGTAAGCCTAGTATTTTGCAAAATACACCGGGCATGGAAGCTTGCAGTTTAGAACATTTTTTAAGTACACCAGAAGAACAGCTGGGTGTGAACATAGAAAGCAGTGAAGAAACAAGACCTTTTGGGAGTTGGATTCCTAGAGCCATGGCCAAGCCTCACACCAGCCTGTTGGATCTGAAGAATTCTTTTTCAAAAACTGGTGCACAGAAACGTTTTCACAATTCAATTCTAGAGGACCACAAAGATCTCAGAGATACAGTCAATTCAGGGATGAAACACCAATTCTATGGCCATAATTCCTATTACTTCTATAATTGAGATATTCCTTCTCTTCAAAACCCAGCCTCTTATGAGAGAAGAAAAAAATACAACAATTTTATTCATTTTGCTGGGTACTATTTCTAAATTAAGCCATAAAGACCCTGCTGATGAGGTTTATGTTTTTAGGAATTTTAGTTAGGATCTGATCAGAAGAACCCCAAAAAGTGTTCTGACTTCTGGAACAGTTGAACAATTTGTCAATAAATATTAGAACCAGAAAATTTTAGTCTTTACTCTCATTTTCAAATTATACTCTAAAGAAATTTAAAAAAAAAAAATTCTTTTTGTCTTTTTGAGACAGGGTCTCACTATGCAGGTCAGGCTGGCCTTGAGCTCACTTTGTAGCCCAGGCTGGTCTTGAACTCGATGATCCATATTACAAAAAAATGAAAATTTGCTAAAATGCTCAGGAATTGACAAATGACTCTACAACCTGTAGTACCTTACTAAAACACACACGTCAGTATTGTCCCCTTTACATAAATGTTTGCACAAAATGACATCACTAGAAAATATAAAACTCAGTTCCCCAACTAACTGAAGGTGAACATCTCTACAAACTACTACGCTGATAAAGTAAATATGTAGACCTTGCTCATTTATGTAAGCAGGTAGACAAGTCAATGGAAGAGATGAAATTCAAAATGGTCTATATGTACACATTACAAGTTAGGAATGTTTCCTTCCCTTTAATCTGATGGAGAAGCATAACTTTATTTTAAGCAGATAAAATTGTTTTATTGTAAAGATCTAATAATGGCTTTAGTTAGCTACTAGTGATTTCTAATAGTGGCAAGAAAGGAAGGCTTAATACTCGTTTTTTCTAGAGCCCAGCATCATCAGTTTTGGAAAGTGTTCACCAAGAATTTCACCTTCATAAGCAAGTCAATGCATTTGATGTACTGAAAGGTACTTCTGTTTTGTTTTGGTACCAGGAATCAAACTCAGGACCTTTCACTTGCCAGGCAGGCGCTTGTGCCACTGAGCTATATCCCAGGCCCTCTACATTTTTAAACATAGTTCATCTTGTATAAATGTCCTTATTTCAGTTTTTTTCATGACCAACATGTCATTTGGCTACACAATCCTTAAAACTATTCTGAGCTAAAATTAAAATTTTTTCCAATCTGCATCTATATACTAGTTAGGTATATAGGAGTCAAAAGTGTACACAGTGAAATACTATTGAAGAAAACCAGAGGTAACAAAGTCAATCACCTGACTTAACCCCACATGATTCTCCATAGCTTTTAATTTGTAATGCAGGGTTAAGGGTGTAGCTCAGTAAGTAGTGTGGTCCTTACCTAGCACGCATGAAACCTTGGCTTCCATCCCCGTGACCACAAAAAAAAGTAATTGGGAATGTCCAAAGTGGGGGGAATGCACTAGAAACATTTCTTAATGTGATCCTTTTATCATATCATTAAACTGGAGTCCAAAGAACAAACTGGAAGATGCAACTCTGCAGTATAGGAACTTGGAGCTTTAATGGCATATTTCCCCTTGGGTTGCAGGGGTATAGAATTGCATTCTAACTAACTAGAAGTGTCCACTTGGCCCACACCTAGCAAAGGTGGCCCAGCCTTTTCAGTGGCCCAGCCCTCCCCTTGATGTCTCTGAGAAAGTCAGTCCTATGCCTAACTGCTGATTGTTAGGACTAATGGACCTAGCCTTATTTGGTGACAGAATATAGTAAGTTCCTGCACTCCAAGTGTGCTCATCAAAAACCAAGGTTGAAAACTCTTTATAGAGACTTCTTGGTTAAAGTAGATTAAATCCGTGTGTCTAGAACTGGACGTGGTGGTGCACGGCTGTAATCCCATCACTGGGTAGGCTGAGTGAGGCAGGAGGATCACTGCAAGTTTGAGACCAGCCTGGGCTACAAAGTGAGCTCAAAGCCAGCCTGAACTGCATAGCAAGACCCTGCCTCAAAAAAAACAACAAAGAAAATCCATGCATCTAATTCATTTACTCTGAAAAACTCACATATATTAGAAGTGCAATGGAGTTAATTGTTACTGTTCTTAATTGTTGTATTTTGTTTTATCCTGTGTACAAAGGCATAGATCAAGTGGGGTTGGGATGGGGTCACATATGTGCTAAAACATCAGGGGTATTTTGGAAAGAAGACTGTTGGGGACCACTACAAAGTGGGTGTGCTGGATTTAGTATTAACCAATTGGCTTTCCGTGTTTACTTGTGAGTTGTCTGAAGCTTAGGCACCTTGTCTGACAAGATAAGGCCACAGCTGAGGACGTTTGGCTCCAACCCCAATTAACTACAAGGAGACTGCAGCTACAGACTCCACACTCCTACAATAAATACCAACCTAAAGATAAGGGAGTTCTCCTGATTGACATAATTTGCTACTTGGGAAAATTCTCCCAAGGTCCTGTGAGATTCCCATGTTTTCTTGAGTGTCCTCCTCCTTTATTTGAAAACCAAATAAATACGAGCCCGCCAGAGAAGTCTTTGGCTAAACTCAGAGAATATCAAAGGTGTAAGAGAGTTAGGCCCTCCTGGAGCCCAGAAATCATTTCCATTGTCTCATTTATTTAAGCCTTCGCTGTCCACTCGCTTGGAAAATTGTGGGCCTGATCAGCCTGTAATAACTAAGAGTTATTTAACCCGATATTGAATGGAAGACAGCTGAAAGATTCTAACAGGCCGACCACACTGAAACCCTAAAATGGCAGCGAGGGAAAGAGCCTGCCTTACACCGCAGAGTCCTCCAAAGGCTCAAGAACTCAGTCCCAGCAGCCTTTGAGTCTGACAGCAGGGCATGGTTGGAGTTTGTTGGTGCTGCATAAAGGAAATGGATGAAAGCACAGACATACTCAGCTGCCTGGTCCTCTCTCCCCACTGCACTCCTCATGCTCCACTCCAACATGCTGGGCACCTGCCCTTCCTGGCCCTGATAAAAGTCCAGAGGGTTATTTTCTGAAGAAAGGTAAAACAGGATTTCTGGCATGAAGAATACCAGGCACAACAGGGCGTGGTGCTGCATGCCTATAATCCTAGCACTCGGGAGGCTGAGGCAGGAGGATCATTGCAAGTTCAAGTCCAGCCTGGGCTACAAAGTGAGCTCAAGGCCAGCCTGAACTGCATAGTGAGACCCTGTCTCAAAAACACAAAAAAAAAGAATACTAGGACAGCTGAGGACAGGGTACTGTTCTGAAAATGAGAAATAAGTGATCATGCCAATCAAGAATTTTAATTGCATATTAAAAAGACCCACAAAAGATTTTACGGGGGGGGGGGGGCTATTTACAGAGATGTATTTAGATAGCTAAATTAGGTAGAAATGTTACAGGCCATCAGGACTGGGCCCTTGAGGAAGTCAGTGCAGATGACACTGTGGCTGGAGGCACATTCACAGCAGGCCAGGATTCAAGAAAAAGAACTACTTACTCATATACTTCCCCTAGGGAAAAACAGCAGTGATTGATATTCTAAGTAGGAATCAATCACTGGGGGTGGAGGACCAAACCTCCTTCACCCACCACTTAAAAGAAAGTCATTGTCTGCCCAAGTGTGCTCGCTATGTGGCTTGTTTCCCTACTTGCTCCCCATTTAATCTATATTACCTAAGCAGCTGTACTTACTGTAATTTTATTGGTTCACCACAGTCTTGTCCCACCTCATACCCACCTGTGATTTCCCATTGGATCAATATTACCTAAGCGACTATACTTATAATCTTATTGATTATAGCTCTGTCTACCTTAAACCCACCTGACCTCACAGCTTTAATAAAACACCCTTGAGAAGTGGTGTTGGCAGGCAACCCACTTTCCAGGCCCCCTTCTGTCCCTCTCAGAAGCTTTCTTTCTTTCAACAAGTACTTCTTACTTTTAATCTCCATTGTTCCTAGAATTCATTCCTAGATTTTAGAGAACATGAACTCCAGCGTTTCAGACATCTAGCAGTTTGGGAGGTTTGGGGGGTTGTTTTTGTTTTTGTTTTTTTTCAGGCACCATCTCCCTATGCAGTTCAGGCTGGCCTTGAGTTCACTTTGTAGCCCAGGCTGGTCTCAACTCACATTGATCCATCCTCCTGCCTCAGCCTCCTGAGTGCTGGGATTACAGGCATGCGCCACCACTCCCAGCCTGACCAAAAATTTTAAAGTAGCGGACAGATACAAAATGAAGTAAAAAATGCCAAGCCTTATCTGCTTCTAGTTACCTACTGGGCATCTGTAGGCCCAAGTGAAGTCACTGTTTTTAGCAAAAATAGCCTTTAAGTTCCTGGCTGCCTCAGAGGAAAACACAAATCAAACTTTCAATGAGTAACAGACTGAGGGCCTGTAAGTTTTTGTCTGTCCTTCTGGGCTGATCGCCAGCCATTTTATCTGGCTCGTCTAGTTTATTTTTGAAGATGTTTTGGCAGTGGCATCCTGTCTTTAATGATGCACCTGGTTTCTGAGGTCAGTGAGATGGTGGAAGAGTGAGAGGGTGGGGAGGACACATGCCATGCTTTTAAATGCTAACAGGTGCCATGCACACGCACGCCTGCAATCCCAGCACTTGGGAGGCTGAGGCAGGAGGATCATTGCGAGTCCGAGACCAGCCTGGGCTACCAAGTGAGCTCAAGGCCAGCCTGAACTGCATAGTGAGACCTTGTCTCAGAAAGACAAAAAAAAAAAGGGTAACAAGTTCTGAGTTAAGGACCAGAAATGCACCTGCCCTTTGTCCTCATGGTGATCTCTGATTGTCTCAATATCATGCTTATGTATTAGAAGATGTAACAATTTTCAAAAAAGATGTAAATTCTTCTATACAGGGTTAATGAGATTCCTGTGAAATGCTAGCAAGATTTTTTGTACCTATAGGCAAAATTCTTCTAAAGTGTATACGAAAGGAAACAGAACTATAATAGATGAAGATTTTGTGAAAAAGAATAAAGTGGGAGAAATCAGTACTTGAGTTCAATATGTATGATACAGCCATGTACCAAGAATATGTGGTATTGGTGGGAGATAAACATATAGCTCCAGAAGTAGACCCACACAAACACACCCAAAGAACATTCACCTAGGTCTCAATTTTACAAATGGATCACAGAATAAAATGTAAAACTATGAAACTTTTAGGAAAACAGAAGATCTTTGGGATCTAAGGGTAAGTTATTAGGTTTGACACCATGATCCATAAAAGAAAACAAAGCGGTCAACTTGCCTCCCTGATTTTAATGGGCAACGATAGAATCGTGGCTGTCAAAG